GCCTGGGATGTGGCCCCCGGGCCCTGGCTCCGGCCCCAGGCCCAGGCCCTACATCAGAGGAAAGCGTTTACGACCACTATCTGCACAAATAAAGCAATAGTGAAACCGTTTCTGTTCTGTTGTTTATTTATAGATTGACTGATACTAGCGGTAATTTTATGCAGGAGTTTCAGTGGTTTTAGTAACATGTGGGCCAGGATTTCTGCCTCTGGAAAAAGACTAAAAATCTTAATTTAGCAGTGTGACCGTGTGCTTTTCTTCCAGAATAAGGAATTATATCTTTATGGCAAAATAGTAATGCCAACAGTTTTCTGTGGGTAGAGTAGACGTGGGACCTGTTAAGGGCTGACCTCCTGTGAACATAATTCTTGGCAGATAACAAACAAAATGTGGGTGATGCTTTAATAATAAATGTATTAATAAAGAACATATTTTTTGAGAATATATTAAGATTATATTAGTTCATAATAAAACTAAGATTCAGGCTAGGCCTGCCCTCTCAGCCCATATCAAAGATGTGGGACACGGGCTATGGGGAAATGGGTCCTTCCCCCTCATTTTCCCTCTCTCCTTGGGACTGCAGCTGTCTGTACCATAGCTAGTTGTTCAGAGATCACTGAGGGGGAAATTCCCTCTCTCTAGCCTGAGGTTCAATTTTCAGGGAAGAGAGAGTGCAAAACACTAAGACCTGTGGTTCACATATGCCTTCAACCTCCAGCATTTCAAAACTCTAGCTTTCAGGCGTCCCTCAGAGCTGTGGCTTGTATCTGCCACTGATCGGTAGCAAGAAGCAGTGCCCGCACCACTGTCCGAGCCTGTGGTTTGGAGGGGAGAGAGGGAACTGCGGGAAATGAAGCTGAAGCTCAGGTCTCTGTTCAGGTGAGGATGAAGGGTGAACCATCCTGTGATTCTGTGAGGGATGCTGGCTCTGCTTTCTTATTCAGGATCTCTCTCAATTACAATTAGCTAAAAATGTTAGTATCTTCCGAAGCAACAGCAGAGGCAGCAGAGCAAAAGCCAATGACTGCCCTAAATACCTTATTTTTAGACCACGTGGAGGCAAATACACGAATGCCTCTAAGTACCGGGAGATCTGAAACACCGAAGTGAAGCACATCCAAAGCGATGGGCCCAATGTAAGAGTTATGTCACCTGGGCTGGGTTATTTATTGCCCAGGCTCCAGGTCAGGAGAAAATTTGGTGGAAAAGGCAGAACTCCCTGGGCAGGGATCTCCTGGGAGAGTACAGGCCTGAGATTTGAGGCATTGCAGTAAGATGTCCTCTTGTAAGTGTGGCTGTGCTAGCTCAGGAGGTTACTGCTCCCCTGTGCTCATCTCATCACTGCGCTCTTAGAGGCTGCTAATGGTCAGCCAAGCTGTTCATGAGCTGGCAAAAAGCCCAGCTATTTAAAGCAATTAACTGATTATCTTCTTCCCCAAAATGAAGTAGGAAGCCAGGCGGGTAGATCTGAGTAGGCATGATGGGTAGCGAGCGGCAGTTGGTGGCAGTAACCTCTTCAACAGTGCAAGTACGGCCAGAAGAAGAATCTGAACTACACCTTACGTGGTGATAGCCTGCAGGATGCTTCTTGTGCGTTGTTGTGTCAGTTAGGACTGTACCACAGCCATATAGCCAGCTTCAGGTGTACCCTATCCATGCCGTGACAGTACATGAAAGGAATTACAGAAGCCTCAAGTTCAGATGCTACGCAACCACCTTGTGTTACTCATTGGGAGAGTGGCAGCATGGCCTTCAGCCTCAGCACGCGAGAGGCTGGCAGAGATGGGCTTCCAAGGCTTTTTAGTCTTCCTCTATGACTTCAGCAAAGCATGTCCTTATGCCTCAATTTCTCAATCTGTAAAAGGGGAGCAGTTTTTAATCACCAAATAAGGCTGCTGCGAAGTTAAATTAATTACTGCAGGTAAAGAGGGTTACGTCCTTTGAAGGCAGGTGTTAAGCAAAAGCAACGATTTATTACTAAAGGAATATGATAGGTCCATTTGAACTTTGTTCGGGAGACTGCAGTATTTATTGATTAGTAGCTTTTGGCAGGGGGAGAGATTGCACAGATGACCTCAGGGAAGTAAACTACAGGAAGGTGTGCGTGAAGGCATTTGTACTCTTGCTAGCGTTATTGTAAATCTCACTCCTTTAATAAAGCTGTGACCTTGGAGTTGACAACTAGTACGCCATGGAGAAATATATAGCACGGCACCAGCCTTGTAAATCTTAGGTAGTTTTTGCCATTGACATAGAGAACATGTAAAGAGAAATCAGGCAGCTGAAGTTTATGAAACATTTATTTGAAGGAAAGCATTTTAAATCAGACTGTTTAGATGAAATGAAACCAATGGCCCTGACAACTTTTTATTCCTGGTGATAAAACATTTTTGTGAAATGAAAATGAAATCTCAACAGTGAAAACTTGTAGAACTGCTTATAAATTTTTTCAGTTTGCAGGGGGCAACTGCTACTGAAGAAGCACATTTTAGATCACATTTGCACGGCCATTGTGAAACTTTGTACAACCACTTTTTGTACAGCTATTGTTTTGGTTGCTTTCTTGACAATGCTGCTGCTGCAAGAACAGTACATCTCCTTGCCATGAAAGGGGCAGGGATTTGTTCTGTGGGAGTGGTCAAAGACGAATGTGAGCAGAAGGGGAAAGAGAGAAAGCTGTGTAACTGCAGGGGGATCCAAAGGTGCCACGCACAAGGGGAAGGACATTATTTGCTCTTGTCAGGTGTATCTGTATTACTACCAACAAAGAACACCTGCAGCCACAGACAAAACTAAGGACAACACTCTTACAACCATAGTGTATTTCATACATATAAGAAGTTCTCTATACATTTCATAGATGTGTTGGAAGCAATGAATCAGTATCTTTTCCCCTGTATTTTTGGCTACTCTGCTCTGGAAGACCAGATTTCCTTTTTTTTTCAGTTACTCAAATATTCCCACAAATTCCACCCTTTGGAGCAGCACTTTCCATCTTCCTGACTGAGGAGTTTTCATTCCCAAGGATGGTTTTCAAAGAGAAAGGGAAGTTATTTTCCCAGGCACATGAAATGTTGAGTCTTTCTCTTCTTAAAAGGGAGACACTTTCTGATTCTAAGAAAAACTAGTAAAGACCTAAAGTCTCTTGGGAGTTTCCTTGTTAACATGTTACCATGTGATTAAAGCTACTTTTTAATCACTGTAGATGCTTCTATGCAAGAACATGTATTCTAATTTCTTAGAGATGAACTGCATCTTTGAAAGCTACTATGTTATACTGTTATACTGTGCATGTAAAAACTAGTACATAATTTTTAAACTTACATAGTGAGAATGCAGGTTAGTTAAAAGACGCTGTCAATCTCTTGAACAGGTTTCTGGTTTTTTATTATAAACATAATATACACTTCTTGCTAGCCTTTCAAGATGGCTTTCACTTACCAGCTTTACTGATTTTGAGTCTTGTCTTGCACTGCAAGTGGAAACTTATGTGCAATCTTATCGGGTCAGTAATACTCTCCTTGACAGTAATTAGTATGCCTGCTACTGTTTTGAGGGGGAATGTTGTTCCAATTTGTTTGGTCCTGTAGTGTCTGAAAAGCTGTTGTTTGTCACCTACCTCCAGCATTGCACTGTCATCATCAATGTACAAAAGACTGGCCTGCTCCTGGAACAGAGCTGCAAAGTAATAGGACAGGCCAGTGTTTCTGTATACTGCACTACCAGCGAGTTCAGGACCATTGTGTTGTAGGGAGAGAAAATGACAATATTTTTTCTATCTTCACAAAAAAACCCCACGTTTTTTAAATGAAACTGAAATTTAATCTAAAAAAAAAAAAATTAAAACAAAACAATGCTTAAGAAAAAAAGCCCCATGATATTTTAGGTCCACACAGGTTACTAAAACTTGATTAATTGCAAAAGGCTAAATTTTAAAGACTGTGTTTATCTACAGAACATGTTCTTCCACTCTTCTGCAGTAGTCATTACATGCTGTTGGAATGACTTGCATGCACATACTCCAAGAATGACCCATCCAGAACTCTTTCAACAAGAACTTCTCCAACAGTGTTTATGTCCTGAAAGAAAAAAAATGATATTTTATTGATGATTGAGATAGTAATTAAAGTATTAATCGTTTTAATTTTGACTGCTTGTTAACTGCTTTGCCAGTTAACAAAGTACTGGTTTCAGTGGGTTTACATCCATGTTTAAAGTTTGCTGCCTAACTTTCTACTCCTTAGTGGTAAACACTGCAACATAAAGCAAGAGAAATCATTATGAAACTTGAAATGAATGAGAATGCCAAATGCAGAAGCTGGTGAATTCAGTGATTACGCAAAAACCAGCAATGCTAATGCTATTTATTAGAGTCCAATTTGGTGATGCATGTTATATTACTCTGTATAGAAATAAATACTATATTATAAACTATACTTTATGAAGCTACATATGTGTGAGCTATCATTAAAATGCTATCATACATAGGTCTGTTTCCACCATGTGCATGAATTATAGATTCAATTTGTTATGATGTTTCTTCACCCCTGCCCCCTATTGGACATAATTTTCTTTAGTGCTTTTGCCTCATTAAAAAAAAAAAAAAAAAAAAGTTTTATATCTTTCTTTAGGATTTGTCTGGATGAGTATCAAATATGAATATAGTAAAGCACTAACTGATATTCTTGTGAAATTCTAACAGCATGTTAATGCTTGTGCTGCGTTTTCTATTTTACAGCCCGGTCAGACAGCAAACAGCTACAGCACCTTTCAGAAGTACAACTGGGTTGTTAAAACAACTTTCATTTAAAGTACGTTGGTTTTCATTTGAGGACCTCCAAGTCACTTATGAACATGAGTTAGATGCATAATGCCTGTTAAGATATGAGGCAACTGTGTACCTTTCCCTTGTCCCACCATTCGACAGCAACACAACTGAGGACAGAACCCATAAACTGGCACCTCTGAGTACCAGACTATGCTGCTTCTGTACACATCTGCCACACTTTGTGACTTCACGGTGCAGTTATCTGCTCAGTTCTTGTCATGACTTCTTGATTGTAAAAAGTGTGGAAGAAGATACAGAAATCAAGTCCAGTAGTTTGCAAATATCATTACTCACTATATAGTCCTCATAATGTAGTGCATGTCTTAGTTGAAGATGCCTGATAAAATTTCTGCTGAAACAGCTTGGATCTTTCCTAGGTGTTAAACAACAAATTGGACACTATAAATAAATGGAAGGCAGTATTCAATTTTAATCTTGGAGGTCTTACAGAAGAAGTATTATCAGTGTTTAAAAAAACAGAAATGTGAAATAAGTGGATCTGTTACAGCCAAACAGCACTCTCCGAGCAAGATGAGTACTGCTAGGCACAGTGCACTTCTAGATCAGCTGTCAGTTATGCCAATCCCTGCTGTGTAATTGGTGTCTGCAGACATCCCAAAGACTGTCAAACTATATAGACCTGATGGTTAATATATTCCCTTCTACTAGCTACAAGGGAACAGCCATGTAAAAGCATTTGTTTTATCCAAACCAAAATTAGTTTATCACCCAAACAATTCATGAATCCATTTGTTTGTAATTCAAATCATAAACTAATAAAAATAATCCATTTGTTTATCATCCAAGCCACTGTGTGGATGATAAAGCGCTACAAGAAGCATACAGGATTTCTCTGGTCATCAATAACAAATTAATTCATCGTGCTTGCAACAGAAGTGCCTAAAACACTTAATCAAAAGAAGAGCTGAATTACTTCCTGTGGGTTCTCTGTAACATAAAAGTTGCAGTTGTTGCAACATGTATTTCTTCAAGCAATATCATGAGAACACTGTGCATATGCTAAAAAGATCATGGAATACACCATGTGTGAATATACCATTTGAGTACTAAAAACAGCTTTATGACATGCTATCGTAATGAACATTATGATACAATACACACACACACAAAAAAAAATTAAAAAGCCCATGTGTTTATTCTAAGTTTGAAATAAAAAGGTGGAAATAGCTATGCCGAATCACGTTTTACGGTACTCCTGAAATCCCCAAACAGTTACTATAAAGGTATTTCAGAATTCAAGTGAAGGGTCAGTGCATCAGTAACAAACAACGAAACGCACCTATCAGCATGTTCCCTCTCTTTGCTTTGTATTAATGATGTGGTTCCTGCAGTTTATAAACCAACTAGAACAGTTATCAAACCAGTATGACTTAAAAGATCACATATTCATTTCCTTGCTTATAATTTTTACAGTATTTGTAGGCAAACATAGTTCTGAATATTGTTTTTTACATTACATTTCAAAGAAAGGTGCAACAGAGGCTGTATAATGCATATTACTCGTGAGTCTCTCAGGATCAGCTTGTATATGCAATTCTGAAATGAGCAAAGGATTTAACAATTTTCTAAGTTTTAAGGCTTAATTCTGCCCTACAGCTACCCAATACAGCTATTTATGAATTTGTCCCGAGTTAAATAAAAGCTTATAGACTGATAAGTGTGATAAAAGTTGACGGTTATTTCAGCTGGCTAAAGTAAATAGAGTCTAATCTGAAAATTTGGCAAAATCTTATACATTAAAGCATTAGCTCAGACAAAGGTGAACACAGTATACACTCATGAGTGAATGGTTCCTTTAATTTTCTCAGAGCTCTGGCTCCAAGATAGCTTACTAATATGATCATGGTTAAAGTGTTGAAAACCAGCCTGCAAAGTAGAAGGGAATGGAGCGGGTTTCCCCCATCCCACCTGCTGGGGTGGGGCAATCAATGTTGGTTGATTTGTCTACAAGTCCTTCAGTCTGTAACCTCTCTAAAATACCTCTTCTGCAAGAATTGGAGTATAAAGTGCCTTGGCAAATAACGATCAGGGAAGTAAATTATGCTCATTGAGACCTGAGTCTGTAGCCTGTGGACCTCAATCCTACAAAAAGGGTCACAGTAAGTTGTTGCAGCCTCTGTGGACCTCAAACTAAAGGGCAAAAAGAAAATGCATTAGCAGTGGAAACAGGGTCAGGTGTCCTGCAAAGAGTATAGGGACACTGCCCGGTTGTGTAGGGATGAGGTCAGGAAGGCCAAGGCACAGCTGGAGATGAATTTGGCGAGGGATGCTAAGAATAACAAGAAAGGCTTCTACAGGTATGTAAATCAGAGAAGAAAGGTCAAAGAGAGTGTACCTGTTTGATGAGCGAGGCTGCCAAGCTGTCAACAACAGATGAGGAGAAGGCTGAAATACTTAACGACTTTTTTGCCTCAGTCTTCACTAGGAAGATCCTGGGAACTACCAGCCTGTCAGCCTCACCTCCATGCCTGGGAAGATCATGGAACAGGTCCTGCTGGAAGACTTGCTGAGGCACCTGGAGGACAGGGAGGCAATCCATCCAGCAAGGCTTTACCAAGGGCAAGTCCTGCCTCACCAACTCAGCAGCTTTCTATGAGGGATTGACTACATCAGTGGACAAGGGAAGACCCGCGAACGTCATCTATCTATACTTCTCCAAGGCCTTTGACATGGTCTCCCACAACATCCTTCTCTCTAAACTGGAGAGACATGGATTTGATGGGTGGACTCTTTGGTGGGTAAGAAATTGGTTGGATGGTCGCTTCCAGAGGGTAGTTCACAATGATAGGAGTGATAATATTTTAAATATTATATGTATGCACGCTTGTCTATGAGAGAGGGAGAGAGGGAATGACTATAGGTAAGTTTTTTCCCCACTGTCAAAACCAATTAAACAATTAATGTATTTTATCTTTGTCCATTTTCTCTTAGCAGTGGTGCTTGCTAGAATTAATCAGTTTAAATGTGATTTCAGTAAAATATAGACTTATGCACATTTCCACTGCTCTCCTTTCCAATCTGTGGTGAGACAGTGGTCCACTAGCTCATCCTCGTCTTCTTCACCTTGGCAATAACACAGGAGTATCTGGAATAAGAGGCAGTATATTGTTAGCAGCTGCAGACAGAACTGAGACATTCTTCGTACTACAAGCTTTGGTCAGATATTATAAGAATCTTCTTTTGCCATAGGTGAAATGCAGCATGGGTGTATGACACGTACCTGGGTGTCATGTATGGTATGCTGGCAAAAGATCAGCCTTGCTAATGGACGCTGCAAACACTGCTTGGAACTGTGCCAGCATGTCAGGATATTGATCCAGAAAAGCACTCTTAACATAACCATGACCTTTGAGAAGAATGGATGGAAAAACTGAACACTACAACTACAGACATTTGATAAAAACATCATTTAATTGCTCTGAAGCACTTGGGAGTATGCGTGACCAAACTACCAATTCTCAGGAGCCCTTATTAGGTATCGACACTTTGTCACAGAGGATTCCTACATAGTTCTCAATATAGAGTATGGTCTTGTTGCACAGTGGAAACACTGTTTTCAGGTTAGTGCAGTTTTCAGATGTGTATGGATAAATGTTCAAGTTTTTCTGAGCATCAGGAGAACAAGAAGCACGAAGGAGATGATAGGCCTTCTGAACAAGCAACCTGAATAATGTGTCATTTAGGAATCCAAGCAGCAAAGAGTATAGGGACTTTAAATTACACACATCAAAAAAAGTATTTAATAATCATATAAAAATTGTTCCTATTTGTTAATGGACAAAACTAAAGGCCATTGAACTTAAAGACTTCAGTTATTCTAGAATTTCTACACATGAAACCGATTGCTCTAACGGGTCCTGCCCTGGAAGAGAATGAAAGGGACAAGAATTTGAACTTTTGGCATATGAAATGCATATATTCTGTAAATATATATGTTCTCTCTATATACCATAAACATATAAAAAAGAAAAGCTGTCAGTCTTCTTATTTCAAAACTATTTCTGAATTAACAAATTATTAGAAGAGAGACAATTACATTTAGATTATTATTAGTCTTATTCATTCTGGAAGTAACCAACATTTTCAAGGAGTTTTATTTGAAAGTAAACATAATTCTCCCCCAAGAAAAATAGCAAAAATTGTTGACTCGTCAAAATGCTGTTGTTTCTACAAAACAGGTCACATGGAGCTAGATTCTATCAAAATCATACTAACTGCAAAGAAAATGTATTATTTTGTAGTTACAGACAAAAAAATAATGTGTCCATTTTAAGTACTATTTGAGTATTATGGTTTCAAAATATTAGTAAAGGATTCATGTTCAATTCTATAAAACAGAAACAAGCTCCAATTAAAAAAATTTTTAAAAAGAGAATTCTTCTAGTTTGACTTTGCTATGTTAGGACAACCAACTCAAAAATGCTTTTGCAACTTCATCATCACTAAGGTCTACCTTGTTCCAGCACCTGTAAGCTCCTGTAGAGGCCCATATTTTTCTATATATTTTTCCCAAGTTCTTAAATGAGATCTCATTTCACTCAGACATACCTAACAACGAGAAGCAGCATCTTGTTATGTTTTATACCATGAAACATTCACGCTAATACATCACTCCAAATATTTCTAGTTCAAAGCCTTATTACAACATTGTGGCTGTACCTAGGGAAGTCTCCTTTGACTACTGGCTGAGTTCCTCAAGCATTTTGTTACTGGTTCAATGTTGCTCTAATACATTTTATAATAATATTCAGCTTATGAGTGTAAAGTCAATTTCAGTGAAATAATTATTGGTTTGTGGTGATTTTACTTGTCCCTTATATTTTGCAATGAAATTTGGGAGGCAAAAAGGAAACATTTCTAGTCTGGGGAGAGAGATCCTCCTAGTTCCCATCCTGCTGTGTTTTTAATGGTGAAAATCTAGACTAGCTCTGTTAAAAACAAAAATATTCCAACATGAGGGCCTGATTTGATTCTGACCTCAGTGAAACCATCAGCCAAACTTTTTGGTAGATTCATTAAGGATAAGATTTGGGTTTTATATTGCTGCTGCTACTGGCTGTCCTATTTCCTTTAGCTCACAACCTCTAAATAACAACCCTGGTGAAGCACAGTCGTGAGGTCATCATTTTCTATGATGAGAAAGAATATGAAATTATATGAAGTCACCATGTTGCGATATTTAAATACTATTTGCACAGAAACAGTGCAGAGTCATTAATATTACTTATAGGTTATTCTATATTCTTAACCTTTAAATGTTGATGACTGGTTCTTGTGAATCTTGATGAAGAAATTTAATATAACCCTGTCCCAGATGTCTCTGCCATGGCTTCTCTACAAACGATCATCCTGAAACATGCTCATGCCTCAGTCACTTAATTGCAATTTCTACTCCCCGAGTGGAAACCCAAATGAAATTAGGTTTATACTAACACAGCAATCCCTGCACTGGCGTGACTGAGACACCACTGGAGCATTTGCCAAGGGTAGTCTGCCAAACATCAGAAACAACATACAAAGGTATCGTGATGCTATGATGCATTAAACACACTCTTTTTTAACATATCTTAGTGGCCTCACAGATGGGTTTACACAAGAAATACAGCATCTACAAGAAAGATGATAAACCACTGCAAATATCCATAATCAGGTCACTTGTGCTTTGCCACTGAACAGCAAAAAGCAGTGCTTAAGCTCTACTGAGTATTGAGAAGCCTAGCTAAGACGTACATAGCTCAGCCCTTCTTAACATACTGTTATATTTGAGTTCTTTCTACAAAACCCTTTAAAAATATTGAAATGAAATCCAATATTTAGCTACTGTTAACATCAAGGTATTGCAGTTCATGCATTTCATTGTTAGTTTCAAGCAAATCTTTCCCAGATAGAAAATCCATGGCAAAAAGGTAAAGAACCAATAGTGTTAACAACAAATGAACTTTTTTACTGCTTTTCTTATGTTCTTTGTAATTCCCCACCACTCTGTAAATAGCCATCCTTCTGAAGTTCACACATTTACTTGCTGGTTTACATTTTAAGGTATTTCCACACTGCTGCTGCTAGACAGGAAGGATTTAAGGGTATTGTTTTGCAGTTAGCAAGACAAAGGAAATGATAAAAGCCAGACGTGAATCTGGTCAGAGAAAAAAATAAACAGGAGTCAGATCTAATCTGTACAATCTCCTCCCACAAACCAACACAGGTATAAAAATATGAGGGGGGGGGGGGGGGGGACTGAAGAGTGTTCATTGTACAGAAAGAGGCACAGAGTAAATATTCACAAACATGGGAGAAAATACTTGGGTTTATATGAATTTCCACATAAATGTATTAATTCAGTCTTAGTTCACTGTTTTTCCTATTGATTTATGCCCTGTCCTCCACCGCAGAGTCCTGTTAAGCTTTTGCTCTGCACCGTGTTTTGATGGATGTAGATGGTCCAGTCTGAACAGCTGCGTTTAAAACTTTGTTTGCTTACGAGTAAGCAAAGTTTCAAAGGCCTTATTTAGACTTAAGAAAAAAGTCTCAGTTTAGGTAGCTTTACCAAAGGGCGGGTGTTTAAAAAAAAAATAAAAATTATATCCTTATCCTGTATTCTGTATTTTAACAGGTGTAGTTGTGGCCAGGAGTTTTACAATTGGGCAATCGTAGTATAAAACATGTGATTTTTCCTTTCTCTGACCAAAGCCAACACAGGGAGTCAAGGAGATTCAGATCCCATAGGTTTAGGCTAGAGCTTAATATTTGCAATGGCACTGGCAGAGTGTTTCAAAGCTCGTTTAGATATGGAACTTGATAAATCTAGCAAGAATCACAAAATTTACTCTTCCATCATCGTGCCGGTTGGGTTTCTCTATTTAGACATGACCTTAAAAAAGGATCTTAATAGTGTTAGTCTTTTGCATGGATAGATCTCTGGAATGATTTAGTAATTAGTGTTCAAGGTTGCAAACCTGTGTTTCACATTCTGTGTAATTTCGGTATGTGCTCTCCATTTTCAGTAGGTGGGATTACTTCAGAAGGAGCTAAGCGCGGCAGTAAGGGCATGTTCATGCATTATTCTTTAAACCTGCAGAAATACAGGGATGACAGAATCTATATGCAGAAACAAAAACAAATGTGACAATCCCCCCAAAACACACTTTGAATAAAGCAGAATATATACATACATATATTTTATATAT